AGGCCGACTTTAAACACTGGCAGATATGGCTGAGTCCATTTAACCCTGTCATGCATTCTTGAATTGGTGAATCAGTTTTTCTTCTCTTCTCTTCTCTTCTTTTTTCTTCTCTTCTCCAAAACGTCCTTCCTCTCTCTTTTCAGCTCTTTTGGACATGTTCGTTTCCTGTCTTTTACCTTCCTTTCCTTTTCTCCTTTCCTCTCCTCTTCTCCATCAAGATGCATTACACTGATCAGCAAAATCTGTTAATTTTAATGGAATCGCCATACAAATTTCCCTCACGGTGAAGATGTAAAAATGTATAAATATTATGTGTTGACATGTAAAATCTGTGCTGTTTTGACAGTGTTGAATCCAACATTAAGAAAACTATTTATCAGCTGTGTTGCTTCATTTACTTTTATTTAACTTTTGCCAGAGGTTACAAACAGTTATGACAGTCAATTTTACAAATATGTCTTTTAAGTTAACTGTGTGTACTTATTTTCCAATTAGAGACCAAGCCAACAAGCTTGCTAAACTGATAATTAATGCCAGTTAATTGACAGTCAGGAATCTGGTTAGCTTGGTCTGCATGGAATAATAACTTCTCATTGTTAATAGAGTTGCAGGGATAACATATTTTTGTTTGCCAGCCCGGAAGTTAGCCTCACCCTAGGTCCATCGACCAAAAGCCTATGGGATTCTCTGTAAGGTTTATCATACTTACACATGTTGTTCAGCAAACTCATCTTCACAAATGAACCCCATTTTTGAAGTGTACATGCATTTTACCAGAAGTAAAAAGCTACTGTTACAGCTTTGTAGCTTGTGGATTGCCACCTTCAATGTGGAAAAATACAGTGTTGGGTTGGTTATTCAACAGATTTTATTTGTTGCATTGGGTATACAAATCAAGTGAGGTCTGGGCATTGTACTTTTTATGCATCTATTTCCTGAGTCCTCTCTGCTACGCTAAACATGAATGTAAAGGAAATAGAACGTCAATAAGATTAAAGAACCGTTGCATCATTTATATTAAAGGTTAAAACATCAGATCACAGGCATGGTCAGAATGTTTGGTCTGTCAAAATAAACTATTTGGTAAGGCAACAAAAACAGAATGATTCTTATTTTCAGGTTAAAACATACTTATGCATATTATATTACATTTCTGCCAATAGATCCTCCTTTTTCTTACACACTAGACCTTTAAGACACGTCGGCTGAAAGCTTCAAAATTCACAAGTGGGCTATTCACTGAGGTAGCCTATTGCATGTCATAGATTACGGACCTTATTTCAGGCACGTAACCAAAAACCCATTGACTTTAAGACAAATGAACAGGAAGTGCAAAAACGAAAACTAATTTCCGTGTTAGGACTCATTCCTCACTCATATTTGTATCATCGACAACTTATTAACCCATTACAGGCCAAGTTAACAAGTGACAGTGCCAATGCCAGTTAACTGACAGTTAGTTAGCTCGCAAAGTAATTGTCAAATTAGTTATCTCCCCTAGCTAAACTTTTTTCCCTCTTTAACTTATTACTGAATGAAATTTTGTACAGCCCTGACAAGACAAGAGAGCTAACTGCCTGTTTCACATAGACTCACGGATAACATCTCGTGTGCCACTTTCTAGTCTCGTTTTTGTTGTTGTTGCTGCTTTCATGCACATTTTTTGAGAGGTCAACAGAGAACAAATATCCCATCAGTTCACAGTGGTGCTTGACACAGACGTCAACCTCTCTCTACACACACACACACACACACACTCAGAGCCCTTTACTAATGGTCAGTGTTTTGTGGTGACAAGCCTCATTTGTCCCCAGTTGTTTACTTGTCTGTTCGGTGTGAACAACATCCACTAATCTTACTCAGTCACGTTAGCTCTTCCTGTGTTTGAATTCTTTAAACCAAATTCATAGATTGGTTTATTTAACAGTGCAGTGATGAGTCATTCGGATTACACAATTTTGTAATGGAATACTACACCTCTTGTCAGTATTTGGGCATTAAAGCAGTTCAAGCGGTGTTTCCTATTAATTACCTAGACTCAAAAATATTTGGACTTTGTTTTTCAGCTTACTGGGTACTCTGATAAATGAGGTCTTCCTTCCTTCTTCCCAAAGACACCCATTACATATCAAACAGTTGATACTAGTGCGCCATGTCAGCCCATGTTATGTTAGGTTGAGTACACAAACTGGCCCCGACTAAAGAGGTTTCACTTCATTTTAATGATGCCTGGTCCCAGATGACAATGAGTTAAAATTAGACACACTTGTCTTAAAACAGCTGTCTGCTGATTTATGGATCTTAAAAGAATCTGCAGTCTGTGGAGAAAAATAACGCTGGCTTTGCGAAAAAGCAACTTAGTCATAGGAAATTGGCAAATGCTGTCACCACTAATAGCGTATATAAATACAGGCACGCAGGCAGCCCCCCATTCTGTAAACAAATATCTTAAGACATCTTAAAAACGGACTTCCGTTCTCAGATTTCAAGATCAAGAAGATTGATGTGGATGTAGAGAAGTGCTGAACTTCCTGAATTTATCCTGCTGTGACTTCGGGCCCAAGGAGGGTTGTGGGAATGGGGAATTCAGCAGAGGCCTGAGTTCAGTCGTCTAAGAGGGTTGAGGTTAATCTCAGCCGTCCTCAGTCCTTGTCTCTTTGTCTCACACATACTGTATGACTTATTAAACTAGACAGTGTATCTGCAGGTCTGGTCTTAAAAAGCCTTGTCGGAGCATGTCACCCCAGATTGTTCTAACTGTGGATTGTACTGCAGGAGGCTGTTCAATCCAGGTTGTGTTGATTTCATTCATTATATAGGAACAATTAAAATGTTTGCTTTTAATTACTGACATAAAGGCCATATTGCCCCCAATGGTTTTCCATCATACTTCCGTACTTTTGCATGTGTGGTCATGAAACAGGTATTAAATTACATTCTGTGTGGCATTAAAAAGTCTTAAATTTAACTCAGCAGGCTGTTTTTCCCCTCCCTTGCCCATTGTTGTCTTTTCCTTATTCTTTTCTTTTCTGTCCTCTCTTCTCACTCCTTCTCAATCCCTTACAGTGTTCTTATATCTGTCCAGCACACACCCATGAAGCTGTCACATATGAAAGAGTTAAATTCTCTCTTTGGCCGCAGCCATAAAACATGCGGTAGCCAGTCTGGTTGGGCAAGATAAACAAATCTGGTGACTTTCCAGACCACTGGCCTCGTATCATAGAGCATTTGTTAACTGGGGAAAAAGAAACAGAAAGCATAAAGTGGGAAAGAGGGATTGTTTTTTTAGAATAGTAGGAAACTTACACAGCTTTGCTTTTTATTCTGTCACATTTTTTCGCTTTTATTTTGCGGCTGCAATGGTATAGTTTTGATTCAAGTCAGAGTGCAGATTTAGCTATGAGGAAGAGCACATCAAAGCTGTCTTTGTGATGAGATTTTGCATTAGCTGATCCAAAAATGTTGATTCAACCCCCAGTTCTTCCCAGCCTCACACACATACACACAACTGCGAGTGCCTGTCCTTTATGTCGCACAGGCATGCTATCTGGTGATGCATTTTCTCCTCTCATGTGGAAAACAGAATACATGAATGTAGGTCACCGCCACAGACTGTAGTCCACACGCCTCCTCACTGGAACAGACTGGAAGTGCTGTTCATGCTTTCCCAGACTTCTGCCAAGAATTCCATACAAAATTGAGGGCGGCGTTAACTCATAGATAGAGTTAATGGATAAAACCTGCACACTGCAGCGGATGCATTAAAGACAGAAGAACTAGCTTGTCCAGACTAGTCCTGCTAGCTAGCTTGTCTGCATAATGTCTGACTAAGATCAGTCACCTTCCTGGTTTCGGGCTCAGCTCGTATGAGATTGAGACAGACTCAGTAATCTGACGGGAAATGCAGCGTGGCGACATGCCATTAGGCTGCCATGTTCTTCACTTGGAAAATGATGTCATGGGAGTCTGGGTGAATGTGGTTGCAACTTGTTCACATTATTTGAAACTAGACGTTTGGTATGCAGTGAAACAAAAAGTAATTGTGTGGTGTGTTCCCTGCTTCACCTATAAAGTGTACAGCTTTGCAGTAGTTAATTTCTGGGGGGAAAGTTACGATGTTGGTCTTTACTGCTGAGATGTTGGCATAACATTACTGCAGCAGTTATTTCATATATCACAATGTATGTAGACCCACCCAAAGAGCAGTTAAAATCTGAGACTGTTTTTAGACTATATTTAACTTTTACTACTACTTATTATTTTTATCCTTTTATCAGAAACACATTTTACAACCTTTCAGTGACGTACTCTTCCAGTTTTTACATTGTCTAAAAATATAGTGACTATTTAGTTGACAATGACATTAAAAGATCAGTCCAACCAAATACAAAAACCCATCATTCAGATAGTTGGTTGCAATGGTCCAATACAGTGAGGGTATCCAGTGGACATTTGTTTGTTCTTACAGCATAAAAATTCACTGTTCCTTTGGATAATCCTTTTTCAAATGTTTGTTTAGGGACTATATTTTGGTAGAAAGTAGTCTCCATTTGAAAAAGCTTGACAGCATGTTCTATGGATTATCCAGAACAACCGGTGCATTGTGTTTCTGTAGCAAGATGTTGCAACTTTTAGATGCTGTGAGCATCCCAAAGAAACAAACAACTGGGATAGCGGCAGAAATCTTACGAGAGGAAACCCCCAAAACTTAAAAATAAAACCAAAAGTATCTGCATGGCCTAGGCTAGACCACTATGTGTAAGTGATAAAATATGTTCTTGTTGTTTTTGGGTGGAGGCAGAAACCTCAGAGATGGATATCTTAAAAACGGGGTAAATAAAATGAAACGATTACACATTACAACGTACCACTAGAGGTAAACGAGAACCTGTGTTTTTTTCTTGTCATTTGGGTGAACTGAACTTTAAAGTGTAGTCTTCTGTTTGGTTTCTGACCAGCCTTCTGTTTTTAAAATAATATAACTTTTCATCTTAACCCAGGTGCCTTTGCCAAGGTGAAGGAGAGCCAGCGGATGAGCGACGAGGGGAAGATGGACCAGGACGAGGCCGACGGCATTAGGAAACGTTGCCGAACGGTTGGGTTTGCCCTCCAGGCAGAGATGAGCTACTTCCATCAGCGGCGAGAGGTGGACTTCAAAGACATGATGCAGGCCTACCTCAGGGAGCAGATAGCCTTTTACCAGCGTGTTGTCCAGCAACTGGAGCGCACCCTGCGTATGTACGACTGTCTGTAAAGACACCAAACTGCTGCCTGGTTCAAGATGCCAAAAAACAGAGAATGAGAGGAAGATCCAAGTCTTGACTCTTTTATCAAGGCGTTTTGTGATGGTCACGTTTGATTCAGTTTGAAAGGACTTGTGAGACGAAGCAGTAGTTACTGGAAAGACGTACCAAGCCAGTCAGTCTTTCACTTTGATGGATTCAAAGTCATGTTTTTTTTTTTTTAAAGACCTACTGTACCTTTTATCTCTGAAATACACATCACACATAGGCAATGTCACAGCATATTGTTTATTTTACATAATTTAAGGTGTTTGTAACATTAAAATAAGAATATAGGTTTCAAAATCATAGCGGATCTATTAGTTGATTGTTATTTAGTGTAACACGCCATGAAACGGGTTCTGTTTTTAAAATTGTCCCCTTCTCTCCATCATTATGCACTTTGGCTTCTGCTGGGACTGATTTACGTTGCTTCCAAAATGTACATTTATACACCAAAAAACCATAATATTCTGGTTAATTTACCAACATCTCATAAACATTCCAGGTGATTTTTCTCATCAGACCATGATAAGACCAAAAAAGTGCACTGTATGCTAAAGTGAAAAGTCACCATCATCCTGTTGAGCGCTCATCTTGCTCGGGTGGTCACTACTTCGAAAGTCACGTCTGCCTTAACTTTGCACCGTGTGGAAGACTCACTGATAACTATGTAATTCAGTTAATTAATGTCATTTTCCTACCTTTTTTTCCTACAGCAAGTGCCTGCAAGGATCTGAGGCATTATGATGGAATGAAAATATGGTTAAATGAACCATTTGTCTGTCGCATGGCTTGTGTTTTTTATAGGGGACATTTTTTGTCTTTTTTTTGTGTGTTTAGAAACAAGTTTGCACATGTTTTTATACATAGTGGGTCAAAGTGTGTGGGGGTTGGTTTATATGTGGATGAGCGAGTGAAATGAGTCGTCTACTGTGCTGATCAATTTACTTTTCCATGATGGAAAAACAAATATATTTTTTTGGTCAACTTGTATGAAAAGTAGTCAGATAGTTGAATTGGATTAACTGGTTGTGTGAGGCTGAACATCATGCTGAACTTAGCGTTTAAATATTTGTATTAAATCATTTAGCTTACACAAGATCAAATTCTTCCTGTTACCAGAATTTTGTGTTCGATGTAGTCTGGGTAAAAAAAAATAACGATTTGATGTTCATATCAAGTATTTTAAACACCATCTACTGTAATGCAAAAAGAAAAGCACGTTATATCGTTCACATTCTCTCAATGCTGTACCCAGAATAACTTAAAGGTATAGTTTGATTGGGAAATACGCTTTCTCGCCACTAATTAGATGAGAAGATTGCTTCCACTCTCAGGTCTTCCTTTTAAGTATGAAGTTACAGCAGGTGGTTAGCTTAGCTTAGCATAAAGACAGAAAACAGTGTTTAAGTGTAAAAATGTCATTTTATGGTTTTATGGGAGTTATGACACGGTTCATTAAATATGCCGGCACATAAACCCCTTTAAAACCACAACTTACACTTGGTGCTGGTAAGCAGATTTTGTAACCTTTGAAGGGAGCCAAGCTAACTGTTTCCCCCTAATATGCTAAGCTAAACAGCTGTCAGCTAAAGCTTTAAATGAATCCTGCAGACATGAGAGTGGTATCAGTCTTCTCATCTAACTCCCGGCTGAAATGCAAATACTCATATTTCCCAAGATGTTGAACTCTTCCTTTAATAATAATACTACATATACCTTCTGCTCTCACTTTGTACATTTAGTTTTTCCACACTCAACGAGATTTGCGTGACCATTGAGGATTCTGGTCCCACTCTCCACTATTCGAGTGAGTGTCACTAAATAGAAGCTGTTCCAGTAACATTACTAATCCTGTTTAACGAGAAATTTTTTTTATGGCAACTTGCGGTTTGACGAGACTATCTTTAGCGTTGTGTTAACCTTAGGTTTATGTGGAGTCTGCGTTGCAATTGTAAGCATTACCTCAAGACGTGTAGGGAATGTTTTTGTGAGCTTGACGCGCTTCTCCTCAAGCAGTTCCCAGTGTTCATTTGTCAGCTGTGAGACACTGATTCTTCTGATTTTGATGGAAGGGGGTTAGGTCTCTCAGTGGTGTGTTTGGGTTTTGGATCGAAATGTGAAATGAAAAATCATTTTATGACGTCTCTGCCTGGTGTTTGTGAGTTTCAGAATTTGAAGTTAGAGCCTTATTATGGTTCTCTCAACAAAAAAGTGCTGACTCAGAGTGCAGGTTTCAGTAAACAAATGGTATGTGTGTGTGCGTGTGTGTTTGTGCGTGACTCAGATATGAGTGTTGTATCAGTACTGTCCACATCTGCAGCCTTTAACTCTCTGCTGTCTACATGTGGTGTTGTTTATGTTGGGGTTTATTTTTTTTTTGAACAAACCTTTGCTTTTCATACTATTGCATTTTTTTTATTCTGTCATTTGCACTCATCACAGTTTCTTCAAGACCAAAGAAGTCATACATTTTCTACTGGGCTCCCTTTTTTTTTGTTCTGTTTGGTTGTAGTGAAATTGAATGTGCTCTCTGGTTTTGTAATTGAATCTGTTCTACTCTGAGGAAAATGTGAAGAGAGCATTTGGAAAAAGTAAAAAAACATTCCACAAAGAAAGTATAAAGGACACCAAAGGCAAAGACAGATTTTGGGCAAAAGAAAGAGTGAAAAACCATTCGAAGAAGTGCTTGCAGCCCCAATCAGGTTTCATGGTGACACTTTCGTCTCATGTTCCAAAGCTGCATAATGAGTTAAATGCCAGACATTTCACACAAGTGGTGGTTTCTTAACATGGATGTGTGACCTGGTGAGCTGCAAGAGCGCTCTCTGAAATAACAGATGGAGGTTTTCAGTAAGTAATTTGTCACTTGATTCAAGGGGACCTAAAAATCTTAATAAAAGTAATGATGGTGATCGTTGACTGTCTTTCTCTTCTTTGCATATTTGTATAACTGTAATATCAGTCAGTAATCATCTGAAGTACCATTTGATACTAAAGCAGCATTTTGAGTTGGTTAAGTTAGTTGGTTAGTTCAAGTATTCTGTTTTATATTTGGAACTTTTTATCTTACTATAAAAAATTCCACTGATGAAAAACAAGCATCCATTTACTTTATCCAATGAGCCTTGAGTCAAAGTAGGCTGCTGTTGTCATATTCTTACTGTTTTTTCTATCCATGCTCAGTACGTGACAACATTTGCGAACAGGATGTGATGACACATACAAATTGTTTGTCCTGAATATAACTAAAACAAGGACAGCCAGGAGCTGTTATCCACATTTAAACATTTAAACACTCTGACACAGTAATGTTCTAACAAAATAAATGAGACACAAAGAAATATGTGCACATCTTGCCAGAAGTCTGAATAAAGCTGAATTTTTCAAATACTAGGTTTTGGTTGGAGTAGGTATCTGTTAGGTCTATTATCTTTATGTTTTGACCAGAAAACGCATTTTACTGTGTTTTTAGCCATAGTAACGCTGTGGCTGGTTTTGGTCTGTTGGATGATTAGTCCAGACTGAAATACCTCAACAACTATTGGATAGATTACTGTGACATTTTGTACAGACATTAATGTCCCTCACAAGATGAAGCCTACTGAGGTTTGTGACCCCGTGACTTTTCCTCCAGTGCTACCATAGAGGTTGACAGTATCTAAGTATGTAAGTACTGGATGGATTAAATAAATATAAATATTTAGGGTCCCTCTCTGGACTCTAGGATTTGTTTTACTAACTCGTATGTTCCCTTTAATTCCCTCAGTTGAACTTTATGCTATGTTTAATGGTAGTTAGCAAATGTTAAGATTGCTAACAGACATAAGACTTAAAGCATATTGGCATATCGACATTTAACTCAAAGCACCGGTGTGCCTAAGTACACCCTCACAGAGCTGATAGCATGGCTGCAGAAGCTTTATCTTATTATTTGTATCATATTTATTCTTGTTTAAGTATAGTTATTTGAACTTCTTTAGCTGCATTGATCTGGAGGAAAACCCTGCAAGGAACAGTCGCTGTATAGAAAGTCTTTTGTCACCCATTCTGATATAAACTTTTAGCCAACTAAAATTTTATTAAAAGTTTCCTGATACATGTGCAGCTTTCCTGCTGAGAGACAGCTGATGAATGCCAAACTATAGCCTAGTACAATATGTTAAAGTGAAGCCTAGACTTTTCTCTTTAATGCGTTCCACATGTTTCGGAACAAACATTTCATTTGGATGGCTCAAATCAACAGCTCTGTTGTTAAAGTGAAATAGGTGTTGGCATAGACCTCATGAATATTAAGCTCCCTCTTCTGTTTTTAACCAAACAACAGGTGTCTTAACAATATTGTCTCGTACCTTTATATTAAGAGTTCCTTTAGGTTGACATATAGTGATGCTAAAGGATCACAGCTGCTCCACAGTCTGTAAAGAACAAAGTGTACGTTACAGATGCATTCGATGACTTGCAATCTTTTAAAAAGTCCAGATGTTTCTGTTTGAACCCAATGCCTGAGTCCGATGGTAATGTTTCAGGCTGTCTCAGGTTTTGGTATGCAACTGGAGGGGCGGGATGATGTCACCTTCATGATATGTGCCAAGAGGAGACATCATCAAGTTCCCCTCAGAAACGAAGGACTGACAGAGGAATGAAAATCTAAATGTGAAGCATAAATCACTGCACTAATTAGGGTGGTGAAAGCAAATTTAGAGTGTATTTTCAGACTAATTAAGTTTGTCTGCCACACACTTCTATGATGTACACCACAGCGTATTAGTGGAGCAAGAAGGCCTCAGTGGCAGTAAAATGACACCTCGGAAAAAGTTCCAAAACCTTGAGGTATTGCCAAAGTAATGCTAACAGTGCACTTCTCCACTGCAACTCAATTTCTGTGAGCGAGGAAGTGGGGGAGATGAAAACTGGTCAACTTTGCCTTCTTTTTGGCTTTTTCCATCAGACGCAGCTGAAGCCTGGATGAGCTAACTACCTCTTTTCCTGCAGAAGGGAACAGTTATTGAAACGGCTCCAGTGTGGTGTGAAAATGGAAGTTGTATCATAAAAAAAAAGTAAATGTCAGGAGGCTGATCGGTGTTTCATTTATAACACTGTAATGTACCTGTTGCTACTGGTCCGGTCATGCTTGAGTGTCATGTTCCAAGTCACATTTACATTACTTAGCACATTCTTAATTTCTTTTCATGCCCTGAACTTCCACAGCAGCTCACTTCTGTCTAAAGGGGAAAACGTGGACGTCTTTCAGGTCTGCAGTGCTGCTGCAGGGGCACATGGTAAAAGCGTTATGGACCAAAGTGCCAGCAGATGTCTATAAAAGAAAAGAAAAAACACAAAAAACAAGATGCTGAGTGAAGGGAAGGAGCAGTTTCATGTCTGCATAGTCTGGGGAGGAAAACTGCACCTCCAGCCCCTTTACAGGATACATCAGAGGACACGACGTACCCGGAGTCCTCATTTGTTTCCTTAATGAAAAATCAGTCAGAGCTCCAGAGCCCAGTAGCAAATGTGCTCTGGTCCCAGTAGCTGTACAGCTGTCTGAATCAAAAGTTTGACTGCACACATTAATCCCACATGACTTTTTCAAACATGTCAAGCTTCCAAGTTTTAAATATCTAATTTCCCAGTCATTTGTATATGCTTCCCTGAAGTATTCTGTCTGTATATACAGCATTGCAAAGGTATATTAAGGTAATTAGGAATTTGTCTTCGCTTTCACTTTCATGGATGACCAGACAGGATTGTTGTCTCATTCCTGGACTGACTTGAGTGACATGGACTTGACCTCCACGGTGCAGAGGATTACAGCGGCCTCCTCCCCGAGCATCTGAGGGAAACAAAGGCAACAGATGGTCGAATCAACACACATGGTGGGTTGGGTAATCCCTCCTCCTCCTGCTCCTGCTGCAGGGGCCAGCGTCACAGCAGGGCCAAAAGCCAACATTCAAACCAGATTTGTGGCTCCATTGAGTTAGTTTGGGAGAGGAATCCTGGTACTGCAAGTCTTAATAATTATTGTCCTTTCACTGAATTACTGATATGAGCAATTTATAATCATGGAAAAGACTTATTCTGACCTTTTCAGAGAGGTCATGGTATGTGTTTTTCTCATTCTCACACATGGGATTATGCACATACTTCCTTACTACAGTGGTTCCCCAACTTTCTTAGAGTTTGACCCCGTAATGAAGAAATATTTACTTGTGAAGCCGAGTTATAGGGCAGTCTAGCAGGGAGTTGTGAAGATCAACCAAAGATTTATTGTTTTTACTTTTCAGACTGATTCATTTCAAGGAAGGCCTGGTGTTTTAATAATAAATAAGAAACTTCTGTAACATGCTTACCTGTCACTTTGTGAAGCAAATGTTAAACCGCACCAGAAAAGCAGACATTTACTTATTTATAAGCTTTTTTAAAGTGACACATGTGTGCAGAGAACCACGTCTCTTGGGAAATGATGAATCATTTGTCTTCTTAACTTGAACATCCTTCTTCATTCTGAATCAAAACCCTCAGGGAATAAACAGTACACAGTATACAGATGTAGACAGTATAACTTGTGTGCCTAAATCCAGTCCGTGTTTGACATGTCAGCTAATAGTGTGATTAATAGATGACAACAAGTATACAGAGGCAAAGGGGATTTGAAACTGATGAAAGCGTGGCCACTGTTGAGCTATGTTGTGCTTCTTTAAAACATTTGGAAAGTATTAATGAACCACTTTTTTCCCCCGAAGAGTTAACTTACCGATGTTCCAGTTAAATAAATGGAAATAATATAAAACAGGACTATATAGCCAGGCTAACAGCTCTGCGAGGCTGTTCTTTGGCACAGCTGTGCTTTGAGTAAATGCTAACATCAGCATGCTAACATAGTCACACTGACAATGCTAACTTTAATGGTTTAATTTTCACCATATTTGTTTAGTGGGTTAGCATTGCTAACTAGCACTAAACACAAAACCAGGCTACAATTCATAGTGAGGGGGACAAGATGTTAGGACCAAACTTTCATAGCAACTTATTGTTGAGTGCTGAGTGTGTGTATGTCTCTGTGTCTGCCCTCCTTTACCTCCCTTATTGCCCTCCACTCACACATTTATAAGGGGGAGGGGTGGTCCAGACTTTCAGACTGACTGGTTCCAGATGCATCTTACTGCCTAGACCCATCAGAAAAGTCTGTATCAGGTGGGTGATGTTTTTTTTTCTAGCCAGTAGGAATTCCAGATTGGAGTTGTAGTCATGCCACCTGAAAACATGCTTGGTGAATAAATGGCTTAGTGAAGGTATTGGAAATGGGACGTTTTACTTTCAGTACCATTGAGCAGCACAGAACTCTTAAAACTTGGCTGTTGGTCTTTGTATAATTTACACTCACACACACTACCACCCGATATCCATTTGTTCTGTGTAGATCAAAGGTGCCAACACTTTAAGGTTAAAGGTCACATCTCCACTGGCTCCACTGTTACAATGAATGTTTGATCTGATGGTCCTGGACGGCACTTTGGATAAAGTATCCATCTCAGGTTCATATTAACACTTCTTTTTTTATTAACACCTATAGTACAGATGCTAAAAACATATATACTGATCCAAGGCCAGGCTGGTCTCTAACACTTTGCCTGACTATGAGGAGGACATTCCAGTGGGTTGGACCCAAAATGCTTCCACATTCTTCCGGGAAGTCCCAATAAAAAAGTTTTGCTGGTGGAGTTTTTTTTCCTCAAGTAATCCTTAATCAGACCACAACAGTTTATGTTGCACCCTGGGTAGCATCAGTGTGCCACAGAGGACAGTCGTTTTTCTTCTGCAACAATTAAAATTTTTTAAAATGAGTCATTTTAAAAATGACCCATCAGTTAGCTGTTAGGATAATCGTCTCAGGATTTATCGGCATAAACAATTCATTTTTT